CATAATTGTATCTTCAGTCTCGCGGAACATACATTTAGTTAGCATTTGAAAAAAATAGCTTTAAAAAGCCCAGCTACATTTGAACATTCAACAGTAGGCCACCAGCTGCATTAGGAAAACAATTACAACAATTCTTAGTCCATTAACAGCTGGTGGTCAAAGGTTGGACATCTTTTTGTCTCCGTTGTTAAAATTATGATGATCCATTCATTCTAAAATACTTTTTTTTCCCCTGTCACTAAATATATAATCTTAATGCAGAGATTAACAAAAACCAGATCAGAACATTCACAGCAAACTACTCTTAAAACATTTTATGTATGTAAATAAATTGGAAAAAAAAACATTACTTGTTATTACAGACACTTTAATTTTTTTTTCATTATTGAACCAGGGCTCATGTCATTGTTGATCTCATTCAGATATTGCATCATTTTTTTTTTCTTGGGCTGTAAACAGTGTTATAACATCATCGACCAACTACCTACGGCAATGCTGTTAATTCAGATATAGATCTCATATGCTTAATCTAAAAGACTGTCTTTAAATGCAGAGTATGAGTCGTGTTTGGTCCTCTCCATAACGGGGACTGGTTTTGTAACTTGACTGATGGTTTCAGGGTCATTTGCTAAACATGAGGATGAATGAGGGGCATGTTAACCTTTATCTGAACGTGACATAGCTTGATTGGTTATCATACATAGAATTTAAAGTTCATGGTACAACAGAATTCCATGTGCAGAACCAGCAGGGAAGAGTTTATTACATGTGGGTTACCAATCACGAGAAAGCTTAGTGTTCTGGTCCCTTTTGGGAGGGGCTGGAGGTGGCCCCCTTCGTAATGTTGCATAGCCTGATAAATGGCTGCCTCCATAGCAGTTAGCTTTTTGATTGTCTCCTAGCAGTTCTGGAGGAGGAGGTGGCAGTACCATATCATCCATGGTGGCTGTAGGCTCAGGCCTTGATAACCGGGCAGATGACAATGAGCTATGCCTTGTAATGGATTTTCTCTGTAGAGTCTTGTTCAGGTCAGCAAGGAAACCTGGTTGCACACTAAGACTTGGCTTAGGTGAAGTTGGTGGTACTTGTGGGCTGACAGGAGTAGGTGATTCTGTCACTTCTGCTTGCATCAGACGCATACTGTCATTCCTTTTTGGTCTGGTGGGTGGTGGGGCTTTCTTTACAGAAGATTTTGACCATGTCTGGGGTTGTGGATTTACCACAGCCACCTTTGGAGAAGTATTTCCAGAAAACAAAACTGGTGGGGCATCTACAGGTGGTGGAGGTGGTGGCAGGAGCTCAAGATCTGCTTGTGGAGGTGGGAAATCGGATTCAGAATCAGACGGTGGAGATAGAAACTCGGTGACTGCCACTTTTCCTGAAGGCAACGTCCCAGGGACTTGGCTGGAAAGATTTCATTGCTGAAAAACCATGGGCAAATTTACACCTGAAAGGTTTAGTTTAACTGGCTTCGGTGGAGCTGCAGCGGGAGGTAATGACTCCTTTGATGGTGATCCTGGTGAGTCAGAGAACTTGCTGACTAGGCTGTCCACAGAGGATTTCTTAGATTCATGGTATTCAGCAGAGCTGTTCGATTTAATACTAGAATTGCGCTGGGGAGTGGGGGGAGGCTTCTTCCCGCCAGGACTGGATGTCTTGCTTGCCTTTTTAGCTGGCGAACCAGTCTTTTCTGGTGTGGGGGAAGGAGGTGGAACGGGAGATGTGGCTGGGGGAGGTGGAGGTGGATGGGGCGGTGGAGGAAGAATTGTTAAGCTACTTTCAGGTGGAGGAGGGGGGAAGTCAGAGGATGGAACTGGTGGGGGTGGAGGAGGTGGTGCAAGGGGTGATGGCTGAGATGACGCATGAGGAGATACAGCCCTGATCTGGATGTGTGGCTGAGGAGTCAGAGAAACTAAAGGACGATTTAAGGTTTCCATTCGAGCCTAGAATATATAAAATAAAAAGCATTAGATATAGTGGGTGAACACAAAAGGAAGTTTTCCATAAATAACAAAATTCTTAATATATTATTTGCAGTAGCACAGTTGAATGGATATTACAACTGAATGTAAGTTGCGTCTTTGTAAAGAAAGGATTAAACTTCCCAGTGTTGCAGTAGCAATAAAGAAGTTAGAAAATGCACAGCTTTAGAAAGGAAATGTAATATGCAGATCTCATCACCAACACCAGAATCCTGAACGCTGAGGAAGTGCATTGCAATAAAAAAATAAAAGTTAAAATTCCATATTTGGCGACATACAAGAAGACATTGGTTGGAAACAGACAACACGAGAGGGTAGAAGGTGCATGACAACAGACAATGCAGAGGTGAGAAGAGGCAAGTTAAGCAGGACATAGCTTTAAATTCCTACTCTAAAAAAGAATGCCTTGCTATTCAGTAATCAAAATCCTGTGCAGCCAGTTGCAAGAAAGGAAGCCTTCTGTGTCCTACTAGAAAAAGTTTATTTCTGTAGACTTTATTATATCTATATTCTTTGATACCTAAGCCTTAATTATAAAAGAGGATGGCCATCTAGGAATTAAGGCAGCGGACTGGATCCCCTTAAAGGACCACTCTAGGCACCCAGACCACTTCAGCTTAATGAAGTGGTCTGGGTGCCAGGTCCTTCTAGGGCTAACCCATTTTTTTATAAACATAGCAGTTTCAGAGAAACTGCTATGTTTATGAATGGGTTAAGCCTTCCCCTTAATCCTCTAGTGGCTGTCTCATTGACAGCCACTAGAGGCGCTTGCGTGCTTCTCACTGTGATTTTCACAGTGAGAGCACGCAAGCGTCCATAGGAAAGCATTGTAAATGCTTTCCTATGCGACGGGCTGAATGCGCGCGCAGCTCTTGCCGCGCGTGCGCATTCAGCCCAGGAGGAGGAACAGAGGAGGAGAGAAGGAGGAGAGCTCTCCGCCCAGCGCTGGAAAAAGGTAAGTTTAACCCCTTTTCCCCTTTCCAGAGCCGGGCGGGAGGGGGTCCCTGAGGGTGGGGACCCCTCAGGGCACTATAGTGCCAGGAAAACGAGTATGTTTTCCTGGCACTATAGTGGTCCTTTAAGGGGATATAACCTGTCTCTTAAAACACTATTGACAGTATTTGGTGCATATAATTGCGGACACTAAATTAGTATAAAAATGGGTAGAAGTCTGCATTAAATGCAGCTTTTCTCTACAAAATGTGGGTAGTACTAACATTACCACAATAACTTGGCAATTGGCAGCAATCTGCTTAACTTACATCTGACATACTAGAATTCCAGATTTTTGTTGGGATATGCAGTGGAAAGTTCTTTCATTAGCCCCTATATTAAGGATTTGACAAGAAAATTAAAAAAACAAAGCCTCAAAACTGCAAGCCAAAAACATTACTGCTAAAATAGTGTCCTGCCCTATGATCCAATTAGGCTAAAGCTTTACCTGATCCCCTTTTGTATTGAAAAAGTTATTAAAAAAAACAAAGAAAAATAAAAAGGAAACGTCTGCTTTTCGGCAGAGAAAAAACATTAACCAAACATAAGCCAGGGGGCTTGTGTTAATGTTTGTTCATGATTCGTTTGCTTTATTTTCAGGAAAGGATAAAGGATTCTTTAGAAAGTTAGTCTGGAGGATTCCAGTTAAACAACATCCAGGTTAAGTGTGTTTTTAGATGACCCCTGACCTTAATACCGCCCCGTACAAATCGCTGTGGGCTTGATGGCCTTAGAAGAGTTGGGCTTCACATTTGGAACCTGGGACAATGAGGCAATAGGAGAAACACGAGCAGTGAAATAAAATGCGTGGCGTCAGAATAGCAACATCATGCCAATGCGTATTTTTCAACCCCGTTCTATCGGAATTCCCAATCATCCCGTCTTACAATGAAGGCTGGCCAATTTATTTCATACCCATGGCCTGACCAAATTTAAAAGCATGATTATTACACTACGGTGCGTGAAGGTTCAAATTGTTTTCACGATTTATAGATGTCCTCACGAAGAGAGGCTTCTGCAATGGTCTGTAAACTTGCCAAAGTGTATGGTAATGTGGCAATATAATGGGTATGACTTGATGTAGAGAGAATGGTACTAAACACTGGTCTACATTGTGGGATGGGAAATCATGGCTGTGATACGGGATAACGGGAAACAGGAATAAAAACCCAGCAGCCTTCTACCCATGCAGCTCAGCCATTCATGCCTTATTTAGGTTTAGTGGGAGTGGAGGGTATGATCACTCTACCTTGTTGGATTCCTCCAGCTGCGTTCCTCTCTTCCAGGCTTCAGAGAAGATAGAACTCACAATGTTTTGAGAACGCATATGGCAGGAGGCTTTACTATCAGAAAGGCCTCTGTCTGACTGGTTGGAATGGTTCGATTGAGATTCTGTATGAGGAACACAAACAGTAGGATAACTCCAAATTTTTACAAAACATTCTAATCAATCTTTTTTTCTGTAATAAGCACATTTTGTCATTGCCTTGGAAATCATGTCTAATTTCAAGTCCTGTTGTTTTTTTGTAGTCAGACAAGTTTGTCATTAAACTCTGAATTTTAGCAGATCCCTCCTCCATTCATTAGCTGAGAGCGACTGCTGGCTGCTTTCAGCAAATGAATGTATTTCTACCATATGAATATGCACAGAACTGTCATCAGCCTGCACAGAACTCTTATCTTGGGCTGGTGAATGATGTCCCAATGATGCTGCTGGAGGTGGAGTTACACCTCAGACACCAGAGGAGTTAAACGCCATATGAGCAGCATTTAAAATTAGTTTCCATGCACCATGACCACTTCAAATTACATAAAGGGACACTATTGTCACCAAAACAACTTTAGATTAACAAAGTAGTTTTGGTGTAGAGATTATGCCCCTGCAGTCTCATTGCTCAATTCTTTGCCATTTAGGAATCAAATCACTTTGTTTATGCAGCCCTAGGCACACCTCCCTGCATGTGACTTATACAGCCTACCTAAACACATCCTGTAAAGAGTCATCTAATTTTATCACATGACAGGAGGCTTCCTATTTTGCATAACTCTCTTTACTAAACTCCATAGCAGTAAAGAAAGTGAAACATTTAAACCAATCAAAATGCAAATAGGGAGTATATCATCCCAGCAAATAGGCTCCTCCTCCTCTTTCTTTACTGCTCCATCGCAGACAGGTCAGAGTTTTTGGCTCTTCCCTATTTACCTCATAATATAGTTTTTCTGTACATTAATAATTGTCACTTTTGTCTATTTACTTTGTTTACTTTATTTCTTCTTACTATCTTTCCTTGATATCTCTGTATTTTAAACTTTCCCTTACTGGGACTCTTTATTTTGTTCCCCTAGTCCCAGTGGCTTGCTCCGTTTTCCCGCTCTTTTTTCCCGCTCGTTTCCCGCCCTTGGGCGGTCCCCCGAGTTTAGGCAGGTTCCCTGTCTTTGCCCCTGCTTGCCGCCCTTGCCGGCTTCCTCTCACTCATTTCCCGCGGCTCGGCGCCAGCCGCGGCTACACTCGCGGCGGCCATCTTTAAAACCGCATCTCGCGAGATTACGGACGCCATCTTGAAAGTGCCGCGAGTGCCGCCAGTACCGCAAGGGACACACACGGACGGACTTTCTAACCGCAAAATACTCCACAGAGGTCAGTTAAAGTGAATGCTGTGTAAAGCACATAAGGTATTAACCTGTGCTTACTTGGGGTGCTGCCCTTAACTGTGCTGCTATAGAGGTCGCTTTGTGGCCACCTCTACAACCCTGGGTGAGGCCCAGAACAAAAATCCCAACTAGTGGTGTTGTATTCTGCCCTGCTGGGGCCATATATATATTATTATTTTGCCACCATTGGCACTATATACCCTGCTTACCACTATATACCCTGCTGGGGTATCACATATATATTTACAACCCTGCTGGGGTTATTTGGTTTTTTCTCCTCAAACCAATTTCATTCCTTGTATAAGCCCTGCTGGGGTAATTTTGTACTCTGTACAACAAAACACGTTATTGCACCCTGCTGGGGTCCGCATAACAATATAAAACAGCTTAGTACTGTCTACACAGCTTACTGACCTCTATAATACGCCCTGTGCCAACACATATTCAGGCATTATGGAGACCTCTCAGACTACAGAGCTCCAAACCATGGTAAATGAGGCTGTATCCGCCTCCATGGAGAAAGTTCTCTCCAAAATGATGGCCTCTAATCCCGAAAGGAAGAAACCATCAAAAACCCACACAGCCCGCCATGACTCAGATTCTGACGAACCAGAATCACGCAAGAGCCCAGAAACCTTCACGGGCAAACGCCATTGGAAAGGCGAAAAGGGTCACCAAAACCCTAACAAAGGCAAAGACCCCGCTAAACGCACTAAACCCGCTATAGCCGCCACCCCGAACCCGCCACACGAGTACTCTTCGGAAGAAGAAGACTCTCACGCCAAATCCATGGCCATCTTAGACGAATGGCAAGCGGACGAGTCAGATTCCAACGAAGACGTTTGGGGCTCAGATTCAGGATCCCAATCCTTCTTTCCACAACAAACGTTCACGGGAGAACCCCAAGAACCAGACACGGAAACCCCGCAGGAAGATGAAGACGCCATTTTCGACCCGTTGGGGCAAAAACTTTTTGATCCACGAAAAATAAGACACCCACGCTCAAGCGACTGGACACCACCCGACCACTTAGCGAGGTTCATGCACCTCTGGTTACGGAAGTCCATGGACAAGACAGTCCGCAACCGCTTGAGGTCGGAATGCCCACGACCTTTTCTACCTGACCATGTTGCGGACACTCCAGAATTCGACCAGGTGATGACCACCTTTATGTCGCGAGGTGGCCGCGACCCACGCAAAGGTGTGGAGAAAGGGTTCAAAGGGGTACAGGATAAACTTCTGGACACTGTGGGACCATTATCCAGAATTATGTACTTGGCCGACGACGCCCTAGCTAAAGCCGATCAATTTGACGCTACTATGGTGCGAGAATGGGCGCATGATGTGCGGGAATGGGCACAAAGGTGCTTTTGTTTTGTGGGTAATGCCAATGTCGCCTTATCATCCGAGCGACGTAAAGCAGCACTTCTCCGCATTGACGGGAAATTGGTGGAGTTGGGCACCAAAGAACTAGGTCCTATGGCACAGGGCAAGCTCTTTGGAGAACTTTTCCTAAAAGAGCTAAGTAGACATGTAAACGTCTACACATCCTTAAACAAGGCTCAGACATCAATGCGTAGAGTCTTCAGACAAAACCCCTCCAGGGGTGTTTTTGGACGGGCTGGCCGCCAAAGGGGCCGTGCTGCCAGCCGCTTCTGGCCATCAGGCCCCCGCTCTACGAGACCCCAACCTTTCTACCCAGAGGTGGGATACCGCCCGTACTCCTACACTCGAGGTGCAGACAGAGGTCGAGGACCACGCACCCGAGGCAGAGCTCGTTTTTCCTCAGGTAAGCAACCATTTTACTCACTTCTCACTCCCAATGCATACAGCAGGTCGCATATCTCTTTTCTTCCAGGAATGGACCTCCATCTCCACGGATGCATGGATCCTACAGACGGTACAAGGTTACGTCATAGACTTCGTAGACCAACCACGACAGACAGAACTACCACGTCCTATCCACTGCTCAAGGATAGACACCTCTCTCATCGACGACGAACTTCAAACCCTATACTCGAAAGGGGCGATCGAACCCGCCTCCGACCCTCAAGGTTTCTTCAGCAACATCTTCTTGGTAAAGAAGAAAACGGGAGACCTACGACCCGTCATAAACCTACGACAACTCAACGAATACGTCACTTACAATCACTTCAAGATGGAAGGCATACATCTTCTACGAGACCTGCTACAAGACAAGGATTGGTTCACGAGACTAGACCTCAAGGACGCTTACTTATCAGTACCCGTCCACCAATCCTGCAGACAATACCTTCGTTTCCACTGGCAAGGCCTTCCTTGGCAATTCACGTGCCTCCCCTTCGGCCTCAGTTCGGCCCCATGGTGTTTCACCAAACTGATGAAA